TTAGACATTTTTTTGTGAACTAATATAAAAAAAATGTAAAAAAGATAAAAATTAAATATCAAATTTAAGAATACATTCCTATTTCATTTTTTTTTTATTTACCTTCTTGCTTCAATTTGCATATTTTCTTTACCTTCGTTAACAACAACTTTAAACAATCTTATTTCCTCTGTTCTTTTATCATGCTCTTGTAAACCTAGTTCACATAACTCATGACATATTGCAATGAAAGACTTCTTATATTTCTCAAATGCATCCTGTGTATCTTTGTTTATTGTAGATAAAATTTTACCTGCTAATTATATCAGTATATTTAAATTTTTTTTAAATTCTTATTATTTTTGTTGGTTCATAAGATGTTTGAAAGCATCAGTAATATTTTGACTCAATTTAATATAAATTTAATATATTCTAGCTTCTTTAATTCTGCATTTCTAAGGTGGAATAATAATCGGCACACAATTAAAAGAAATGGAATATATATAAAAATTCACAAAAATAATTAGATATTATTAAGCGATCATAGTAATCATACTTATTCATATAAAGTTTATATAAAATAATATTTAATATTCACTCATTGAATAAATTACACATAAAGAGCAATAAAAAAACAAGGCATAAATTTACCTTTATCAAGGGAAAACATTTGTTGAAAGAGGTAATCTTCATCAAGATATTCCACATAAGCTATAGTTAGTAATGCAATTTTGTCTTCAATTTCTCGTTGCAATGCCAATTCTGTTTGCATTTTTGCCTCGTTTTCCTCAAGATTGCTAATTAAACGGCTACAGAAACAAAACGATATAATTATTTAATTGTATTATAAAATATTCATAGAACTTGATTTTATTAAAATAGAATAAAAACAAAAATGCTCTGAAAAATATAGACAGAAAACAAGAGTTCAATGATGAAAAAACTATTAAATTTAATAATGATATTAAGATTAATAATCACTAGTGTTTATCGATGGCACATCGACGCTCGCTTTCAGATATCATTTTATACTGACAATAAATCAATTGAGGCAAAAATGCAAATAAATAATCCAAATATCCGTCCATCTCTGTGCAAGGATTGTCACACGTGTTCAAACTTTTGAGTGATTTGAAATCACGTAGATATACAATCTGCAGCAATTTTATAAATAATGAAAGGTAATATCATTATTTTTAATACTACCTCAAGATGTGATACATCATCATTTTACTAACTTAAATAGACTTAAGACACAATTTTAAATATAAAATCAAGTTAATAAATATTGCACAAATGTGCAGAAGACATGAGATGTTTAATCATACATACATGCTTCCAGTCATTGATCTTATTTTTACCAATGTTTAAAATGATCAATTTCTTCAAATCGCTTATCCCCTGTACATCCGAGATCTCGTTACTGTACAGAAGCAGAATTTCTAATTGATGCAGATTTTTCAAATTTTCCATAACACTAATGCGATTAAATGAAAGATCCAGTTCCTTCAAATGACAAAGTTCATCTAAATTCTCTATTCTCTCGATAACGTTATGAGATAGCGACAATTTGACTAAATTTGTCAACAACCAGAGATGATCAATGTTTAAAATCTCTGTAAATTAACATATGTAGAAAAACATTAGAATATTTAAATCAGTTTAATTACATATTAATATGTGGCATTCAATACATTAAAAACCATCAATTTTGAATAAACTCTTGTAATTATAAAAAAAATTTTGAATGTTTAAAGAGATAATTGAAAAGTATCAATATTATCAATTTATATCAATAAATTTGAATTTTTATATAAAATATCTGAATGCATTAAATTCATGATTTTTTATCATACAAATGCTTCATAAATAAATACTTATGAAGGTTCATATATATTATTGCAAAATAACATTTCTTTTTCGCAGTAATCATTTTTATAGATAATTAAACGTGAAAAATAATTAAAACTAAATATGTTAAATAATTAAAATTAAAAATGTTATCCAATTATGTGCAAAAATGTATGTACACATACATATATGCTTAAGGAATTTTAGAACAATAATAAATTATAAAATAAATATTATATATTTATGAGATAATCGTTTTAATTTTAATTATATATGTATATACGTATATAGTTTTCTGATCTGTATCAGTTCTACTATGATTATTAAAAAAATAATAGTACATATGTAGTCATAATGGCCGATTATTTACTCAAGAATTCAATACGAATTTCTTCTAATTTATCCAACTCGATTCCGTCCTGAAGAAATAATCTGCCTCCTTCTTTCTTTGGTCCCTGATTGATTGCTAAAGAAATGAGTAAACTTTGCGTTATCACACGGGGTTCCGTAGCTTCGAGCAGCACGTCAAAAATATCCATTTTATGCATCCCCTTCACATTTCTGTTTCAAATCCAACAAATGGCAACAAATCTCACAATTAGATACTAAATCTTAAAATTTCGCTGCCACATGAATCTACATTTTCTTTTTTCCTCTTTATAACACTTTGTTCACAGTCCACATAAACGTACGACTGTTTATGTAAAATTGGTTTGCGTTGCCCGCGCAACCCCCGTTGGGGGAATATCTTTTTCGCGCATGCTTAGAGCCGTGGCACATAAAAATGCATGGAGAATCAGTCTGAAAAACAGTAGATATGTATCTTCTATCCTTACTTTACTTTCCAAAAGTACATGATAAAGGATATAAGGATATAAGATATTGCTCTCTCGCTTTATCAACTCAGAACAGAATTTTAGTCAGAAGGCATATCTAGTACTGTAAGATTTATGGATTAACCGGAGTTTGTGAGATCGATCCCATGTCTTAATTAGAAAACTGCTACTATGAGATTATGGGTGCGATCCACTTGCTGCTACAAATCCTTCGAAACATTGGATTAACCAATCAGAACAAAAATATTATGAATTGACCAATCAAAAATTGCTTTGAAGCATTTGTAGCACCAAGTGGATCGCACTCTATAGAGTTATGGCTATTGTAGACTAGGCTTTAGAGACCATTGAAAGATTCAGTGTCTATACTGTATATATAGTATTATGGCTATAGTGAAATCGGCTTTCAAACTTCGTTTCGTAGTTGTCAATTAATAGTTGTAATTGTGAAGTGTTATCTTGTTCGAATTTAAACAGTTTTAATTTTGAGTATATTGCGAAAGAGAAAAAAATTTTCTAAAGTTGCTATGGATAAAAGAAAATTGATTTTAAGAAACAGTTTACATAAAAATTTACAACCGATTAATCAGTCATCGGAAAGAGATATTTTCAGTGATGAACAAACAAGTTCTTATACATCCTCTATCGACACTATGATACAAGAAGAGAAGAGTAATTCATCTCACCTCAAGAGAAATTTATCAGATATTAAATTGTCAACATTAAAATCTTTAGATAATCATTCAAGAGAAAGTGATTTATGTATTAAAAGTAAAAAACGAAGTTTTTGTGAAACTGAAACTGATATATCAGAAAAAGATAATTTTGCTCTTGTTCATAAAACATTGAAAAGTAAGACATTGGTATCGAAACCACTTAATAGCCAAGTATCAGTGGATACATCATTCATGGAAAATCAGCAAAAAAATATTCAACATTTGTCAAGAAATAATGTATCAGTGACAAATAAGTTCTCAAATGTTATTAATCTACCTGTAGAAAAATCAGTTGTACAGAACTATGAAATTGCAAGTCCTAATTCATCAGATGCTTCAGATGATGATCTTAACTATTCATGTAATGAAGTTATAAAAAAGAAACAAAAAGAAACTGTAATTAATAAAAAAGCCAAACATGTCCACAATATTGATAACAATCTGAGTTTTCCTAGAGCAATATCTCTGTCTCATGAGTCATCTATGAAAACAATTGCTAAACCTTATATTTCTCAGAGAAAGCAACAAGATAAAAAATGTCAATCCTTTATAGAATCAGAAAAATATAACATTAATGATAAAAGATTAGAGAAACATAGAAACAAATTTAAGAATCATAGATCCTCCGAAGAGCAA